GATATTATTGAGTTTCCGTTTCGTATTACAGTTTGTTCTCGTACGTTATAGTGGTGTCACTTCGAAACACATTTCTTTTTCTGGATTGAATATTTAAGCCGACCTTCTGCAAGTTTCTCGACTTACTCAAAGAAGTTTGGAAATCAACTCAGAATTGGCATGAAAGTCAGTCACCATCTCACTGGGCTCTCGACGCTCACCAATCTGCACGTGAATTTGGTTGCTGTGACCACTTTGCATAAGTTCACATCATATGGATATCCTCAGAGGATGAAAACCATTAAACCATATGAATTTTCTAGATTCTGATGGACAATTGACCTCAAGTGACAGAGAACCTAGTGTGACTTATGTAGATTGCCTGGACGAGACTTTAGAATTGTTATCAATGTTTTCTGCTTTACATATATAATTCTTGACTTATGATTAGTTGATGTAAGATGCAAGATGCTAATTTTAAATGTATTATAATTAACAATTTCTCGTTCTATTGAATCGTTGTGAGTCCCGTATTGCTCCTTCATAGGAAGGGTTGCCAAATTAACACGTCAATTTTCTATAATTGCAGGCAAGAAAGAAGGAAGGAATCAAAAGATAAGCAGCGATCTACTGATAAAAAGTTGGAGAGAAGATCTTATGATCGACGTTGCAATTTAAAATCTTGAAATACAACCAATAACATGATGAAAAATTAGTTATCATCAATATTATTTCTTCTAATTCCTTGGGGAAAATTTTCCTTCTTTTTGATCGAACACCCTAAGCAGCAAAGTGAGATTAATCCACACATGTTTACTCAATATTTTCTTCTGGAAACAAGAATTCGGTATTCTCTCCGGCTAAAACTCTCCTTGTGTCTGGTGACACACAGCTTAGTTTGTTCTCTATGACATTGGATTGATGCCTTCCAAGTTTCTAAACTGTAGCATTTGCATGGATGAAATTTCTAAATTTTAGGCTTTGGCTACTAATTCTGATGCATAAAATTTGTTTTTTAACACTTCAACAGGTGGCCTGAGAAATTGTTATTAGGGTGCACATTATAATTTCGTGGTATTTCAGCATTTCCAACCCCGAAAGACCAAAGTAGTGTAAAAAGAAGGCCCGACTCCAAGTTATATTCTTCTTTTTCATCAATCAAAGCTCGCATTTGTTTGAGCTAATCTTTCTCCCTTTATTTCACGTGCATGTACCCGGTTCTACTTAATCGCACGCAGTCGAATTAATCAATTGTTATCGGATCAGCCGAAAGGAAATTTTTCAGAAAGTAAGCCAAGTGTGGGTAACTGGGTAAGGTCCTACGTCGCCATCCTTTTCCATTTTATATTCTACTTGTTTGTCCCAATTTACATCATTATCTTTAACTTTGTCGTTATGCGCCTTTGCTCTGCTCGTAATGTTGAATCATTTCACTTAGTTCTTTTCTTTATTATGCTTACCGCTTATAATATTTTGTTTGCTTAATGTATCTGTGGCCACTCAACAAAATCATTGCTGTCCCTACCTTCTTCGAACGGTAATCAAGAACTAGCATTCTTCTTACTGATGCTGATGCTTCTCATTACTGCACATATCCCCAATTTTATTAGTCTTTTTTAAAAAGATGAATATACAAGACAGACTATATTTTAATTGGATAAATCTATATGTACATCATACCTATCCATTTTAAAAATTGTTTTTAAATTATCGGCACACATCTTGACAACTCACTGATTATCAAACTAGTTGTACACAACTAGATTAATTCTAAATGTAATAGGGTAACACTAAATTTGAATAAATAGTTGAGATGTCCTATTTTTCACACATTGGAGTGAGATGACTCGATAATGTATATAGAGGACAATCGACACTGGTTAGTGTATTTGCTCGTCATTTCATTTTGAGACTCGATGTGAACGACATAACATTGAGTTTGTGTGCTTGACAAATTTGTCGAGTGAGATCAATCATGTCGTACCAAATTTTGTTATGTGCTGTTGTTGAGCACTATTGATGAGCTTGACATCGAACCTTTTGCGGCGAGACAATCGGTGTTTATTATTTCTCTGGGGTGTGTGTAATCTCGACTTCTTTTTCATTTTTTTCTCACCGTGGAGTTGAGCCTCGTTCTCTTGGTCTTAGTGATGTCAATCGAGCCGCTGACTCGTATTGTTCATACCCACGAGCCGCTCGGACTCGTCAAAAGACGAGCTCGAGCCGAGCGGACCGGTTAGTAGACGAGCCGAGCGCTCGTGGAAAAACATTTAAAAAAAAAAAAAAAACTAAGGAAAATTTTTTTTTTGACGAGGCTCGGCTCGTGAGCTCGCAAGCTCGTGGGCCGAGCCGATCTTGCCCACGAGCAAACGAGCCATGAGCGGCTTGGCTCGTGAGCTGGTGGCTCGTGGACCGTTCACTATTCAAATTATTTTTTAGTACAATTATTACCCATACGTGGACCCACATGTCATTTGCATTTACTGTTCCTTTGAATGTTTGTTGGCCATGAATTCAGCCTGTTTTTGCGCCAAAATTGTGAATTCGAACAAATAAAAAATTACTCGGTACAGTAAAAGGCTCTCTTATCGATGCTTTGTCTGTCTTTGCATTGTAAGAGAGACGTTGAAGATTTGCAGTTTTGTTACTTCACACGTGCGCCGAACTCAGATTGTGAAACAAAAAATAAAACAAAAATATTCTAATATTTTCTGCTTAACTTGCATGGGGCAAAGTTATTCCACATTTTTCATTTTTTTTTTACCATTTTGAAATAATTTATCTTATTAAAGGGAAAAGTAGAACCAGCTTTTATCTTCTACCTATACGATTGAACTAAGCCACCCAACTTTACTAAAGTTTTAAAATAAAAATAAATAAAATACTGAATTATCTTTTCCTTTTTAATCGAACCAAGCTCGAATTCGATGACATTGGATAAAAGTATTATTTATTTATCGATGGGATCACCAATCCATTATCTTTTGGAAAGAAATAAAAAAATTTATATATCTTTTTCGCCCTCTTTTTCCTTTCTCTACTTTTGAGGTCAAAACTCATTTATAAAAGCAAAATTTTATCTCAATATTTATACCTTAAATATTCCTTGAATTAAAAAAAAAAAATGCTATACTCTTATCCTCATACTCGTCTGATAATGATGGGAATGGTGATATTTTAGCCACTGTTTGTCCCCCATTAAATTTCATTACATTACATTAAATTTTTCTCTTTTCACTACAACCACACATTTATCAAATAAAATAATATTACACACAAATCTAAAACTTTTCACTACTTTTCCACCACATATTCTCCCATCAATCACTATTTCAAAAATTTTCAACCATAAAAATGCACAATAATGGAAGCCAAACAGGGGCTTAATTTCGTTTTCCTTTCAAAAATTCTCGTCGAAGCTAGGGCGGGGATGGCTGCCTCGATGGCCGATAGGGACACTTCTTGCTATCATTACGATATCTGAGAGCATGCCGGAGAAGTATTTATAAACAGTTTGAATTATAAATAGATAGAATAATAGAAATGCATGGTGATTAAGTGAATAATGCTTGTGAATTCAGGGGCGGGCCTAAGGGGGGTCCTGGGGGGCACGTGCCCCCCTCCCCCCTCCAACTTTTGAATTTTTTTTTTTTGGTGAAGTTATGTTTGGTATCGATTGAAATCTAAATCTTAATCTAAATCAAAGTTGACAATTAATTCTGATAACATATTTCACGGAATCCATAACTATTTAACTTTTATCAAAATTTACTAAAAATTTGATTTTAATCTCCACCAAACAGGATAAAATCACAATTAATTTGAATTTCGATAACAAACTAATTTCAAAAATTCTCCAATAATCGTACGCTAATCGAATCTACAAANACCAAACAGGAGAAAAATCACAATAAATTTAAATTTCGATAACATACTAATTTTAAAAATTCTCCGACGATCGTACGCTAATCGAATCTACAAATTGCTTATGTCATCTCAAAACTTATTTCGAGAACTACATTATGGACATATCGAATAGTCCAAATAGATATCGAAAATAGTTAAACGTGAATTTTAAAGAAAGACGTCTAAATTGCATTAAAAAAAAAAATAAATTCAATTATTTCATTTAACATTTATTATTTTTACGATACAAATTTCTCAATATCATTTTCATCATTTTATTAGGAAATTTTATTTTCATCATTTTATTAGGAAATTTTATATGGAATATGACATCAAAAAATTTCGAAATTTTACATCCGAAAAAGTCATATCTCATGTAAATTTTCGGATGCAAAATTACATTGGAGTATAATTTTTTAAACGTAAATTTTCGATTGTAAAATTTCTCTCAAATTATTTGCAAATTCAATTGTGGCCCCCTAACTTTAAACTTCTGCGTCTGTCCATGTGTGAATTTATTGAAATATATGAACAAAAAGTAACTTGAGTTTTTAAGCTCGAGCCAAACATATGCTAAATCGATTGATATCTCAAGAATTGACTATAGGTAAATTTAAATGTAAATAATTTTAAAAATCTAAAAATTTTTAGAACAAGTTGAGCTGTAAAAATTATAAATAAGCTGGAGAAAGTACAGCAGTGCAACAGGGAGTAACGGTAACATCTGGTTGGCAGTTCCTTGAGGGGCAATTTGGGAATACGAGAAAAGTTAACGGAAACCTTCGTAAATAAAAAAGCAGCACACACAGAGAAAGCTAAGGAACGAACAGTGTTCTTCACAGTGGGAAGTGGGCTGCAAGTGCTCTCTCTTTCTGAAATTTTCTACCACCTTATATACACATATTTCAATTGAAAAACCTTGACTTCATATCTCTCTCTCTCTCTCTCTCGCATCAATCACTTTTTTTCTTTGCTTTTTTGACTTTAATTCTTTGACAGCTTTTCGCTTTTCTCAAGAAACCAAACTGGTTTTTTCGATCTTACTGTGGAGTCATTTAGTGACAACCCATTTGGAATTTGAGTTGAAATTTTGGGTGGTATACTGAGCTTTAGAAATGGCTGATCCAAAACCTGAGGAAATAAGTCATCCTCCAATGGACCAACTTCAAGGCTTAGAGTATTGTATTGATTCTAATCCTTCTTGGGGTATGTTTTATTATGTGTTGTTAGTGTTTTTTTTACGTGTTTTTGGTTTGAGTCTTGAAATGGTTTGCTGAATCATTGGTTGTGAAAACAGGGGAAGCAATAGCACTGGGATTTCAGCACTATATTTTGGCACTGGGGACCGCCGTGATGATTCCTTCGTTTCTTGTTCCTTTGATGGGTGGAACTGATGTGAGCTAATTATATTTTCTTGCATTTATGTAATTTGATTATTAAAGATTGTAGATTAAGAAGACAAGACTCGTTTAGTTATTCTTAATTTCTTGCTTAAAATCATTTGCATTCTTGAAATCTGAACCTTTGAGCAATAGATTCATTAAAGCAGTGTCAAATTCCAGTGTTAAATAGGTAATGGTGTTGTTTAATACTAAAATTCTTTTTCTATGGGGTTTAATTTATGGTTTTATTCAGGGTGATAAAGTGAGAGTAGTGCAGACTCTGCTGTTTGTTGAAGGTATAAATACACTGTTACAAACACTTTTTGGAACAAGATTGCCAACAGTCATTGGAGGTTCATGGGCATTCATGGTGCCTATAGTTTCAATAATTCACGATTCATCCTTGGAAAGAATCCCCGACCCTCACGCCGTAAGTCCTGCAGTTTCGCGTAAATTCTTGTATTTATCTTTATGAGGGTAGAGAAATTTGATGCATTATATAATATTTAGAAGTGATTCTTTTGAAATTTTAATTAATGAACTTTAGGCATTCATTGACTCTTTAACTTGGAATGGTATATTTTCCAATTTGTGCATTCTACAACATGAAAGTGACAATATAAATGAACTTTTTATAGTACTCATTTTATGGCCTTCTCCTGTTAACTTCATTTTGTTCCTTAATACTGTCTAGCACTATCTAATTTACCTTACAAAACATGGAAAATATGTATAATTTACCCTAAGAGGTGAAAATGTACATAATAGTTGCAGCTAAGAGTTTACTTGTTATGGAGGCAATTACTTTAAGAAGGCTAAAAATCATTATTTGCTTATATTCAGAATATACCTACATATTCCATAAGAGCTCAGAATAAATAATTAAGAATTCTTATTTAACAATTCTGTTTCTTCACACTTGTTTATCTAATGATAGAAACACTGATGATGTCCTATTTCTGCCTTTTAGAGATTCCTTAGTACAATGCGGGCAATCCAGGGTGCACTCATAGTAGCATCAAGCGTGCAGATTATTTTGGGTTATAGTCAGCTGTGGGCTATCTGTTCCAGGTACACTTTTAAAAAAAAAAAAATTATAATACTTTATTATAGAAGAGTAACATTATGGCCGTTGAGAATCCTATGAAAAAGTTGCTTGTATATACAGGTTTTTCAGCCCACTTGGAACGGCTCCAGTAATTGCACTTGTGGGTCTCGGTCTACTTGATAGAGGATTCCCTGTGGTATGTTGAACACAATTGCTTTTAATTTGATTCATATGCTTTCTTTTTATGGGTTAAATGACTCGCTTAATTGCATATTGTTAACTTTATGCACTTCGATCAGGTTGGACGATGTGTGGAGATTGGCATTCCGATGCTCATCTTATTTGTTGCCTTCTCTCAGGTATTGGACTCTCTGATATAATCTCTCTTTCTTGAAATTTGGTTTTCTTAGCATAAGTGAAAATGTTAGAATTTGCCTAATTAAGGAGTTTTTGTGTTGCCAATACTCAATGCACATGGATATTTGTTAAAGAACATTATCTCTTTTCTACAATCTCATATATAGACTTCCAGTATGGAGACTGTAAAAAATTAACAGTATCAAGATTTATCTAATATCTCGTTAATTTCGTTGTACAGTACCTGAAACACTTCCAAATGAAACAAGTACCAGTATTGGAGAGATTTGCTTTTCTCATCTCAGTTACAGTAATCTGGGCTTACGCTCACCTCCTTACAGCCAGTGGCACATATAAGCATCGTCCAGAATTAACTCAAAAGAATTGTCGGACTGATAGATCAAACCTCATCTCGACTGCACCATGGTTTGTACAATTTAACGTTCTTTGTTCTGAATCAGTATGCATTTTGCTGTCAAAGTAAAATGTGTATCTCTAAAAGTTATAACGTTCTTATGCAATCTTGATCACCTTGAAATACCATTTCCAATAGGATCAAAATTCCTTACCCTCTTGAGTGGGGTGCACCTACCTTTGACGCTGGTCATGCATTTGGAATGATGGCTGCCGTGCTAGTCTCCATGATTGAGGTAAAACCTAATGTATTTTTGGAAATTTTCGAACTCACCAAATGTCTCAACACTTCTAATTGATGTTTTTTCGATTTTTTTTTGGCTGAAGTCAACTGGAGCATATAAGGCAGCATCTCGATTAGCAAGTGCTACACCTCCTCCTGCTCACGTGCTTAGCCGTGGAATTGGCTGGCAGGTCTGTAAAAGAAAAGAAAAAAAAATCAGATTTTTTCCGTTCAAACAACTGTACATCTACCAAGACAATTGCAAGAATTTAGTAAATCTTGTGTATGATTCTAAATCAATGAGTTAAATCTAAAACAAGCTTAGCAGGATAGACACATCTTGTTGAAAGTTCTAAGTTGAAGAAATTGCTCCCACCTTGTGCAGTTTGATGTGAAATTGCCGCTAAGATATATTTCTTGGATTCTATTTTACATAAAACTTATAAATCCTCTTCATGTATAGGGCATTGGGATTCTATTGGATGGACTATTCGGGACAGTCACTGGATCTACCGTTTCTGTGTAAGAGTTTTTTGCTTACATTGGCTTTGTACTAATTTACTATGGTGATTGCTTGCTCAGCCTTCACGATAACAGGGAAAATATTGGTCTTCTTGGAAGCACTCGTGTTGGCAGCCGCAGGGTAATCCAAATTTCTGCTGGATTCATGATCTTCTTCTCAATATTAGGTATATGTATGGCCAAATCCCTCAAAGAAACCATATTTTCCACTGGCTTCTCACTCAAAATTCTGTCCTTAAAACATGTGCAGGAAAATTTGGAGCATTGTTTGCATCAATACCTTTCACAATCTTTGCAGCTGTGTATTGTGTTATGTTTGGTCTTGTTGGTGGGTAAATGGATTTTACTTATTAATATTTTTTTTGCTTTGTCATTTCCTCATTTCTTTCTTATCGGCAGTTTTCCACTGTTTCTAGCTTCTGTAGGGTTGTCGTTCTTGCAATTCACAAACATGAACTCGTTGAGAAACCTCTTCATCACTGGTGTTTCCCTCTTCCTAGGCTTATCTATCCCTGAGTATTTCAGGGAATACACTACAGCTGCTCTTCATGGCCCTGCACACACAAACGCTGGATGGGTGAGTTGCTCAACTTTTACGTAAAAGCATTGATGAGTAGATCTTTATATGAAAGACGAAGGAGGATAATAATGCATTTTCATTTAAATGTTTTTTCATGTTCTCTTTGTGTGCAGTTCAACGATTTCCTAAACACCATCTTCTTATCCTCCCCGACTGTTGCCCTACTTGTTGCTGTATTCCTGGACAACACGCTTGACATTAAAGACAATGCTAGAGATCGAGGAATGCCATGGTGGGCCAAGTTCAGAACGTTCAAGGGAGACAGTCGGAATGAAGAGTTTTACACTCTTCCGTTCAATCTCAACCGGTTCTTCCCTCCATCATGATACATTATTGTTGAGGCGAAGACAAATCATAAGCTGAAAAAGGATTATGCTCAATTACTCAAAGCTTGTTGCAACCCTATAGTAGAGATAAAAGCTTGTGAGTCTGTGTGTTTTGACTCGCCCATGAATCGACAGATTAGCTTCTTCTGTCATTATTTTTTAATTTATTCAATCAATCTGGCTTGGGTTATTCAAGTTTAATCCAATAATTTTATTTCATAATTTGACAACAGTTTTACCTAGAAGCCTACAAATTAGAAAGATTTTTGCAAAGACACATACATTTCTACCTTAAATTTGACAGGTTCTTTAACATGGAAAGAGATCAAATTTCAACTGCGACTTTATTCCCATACGAATCAAAAGATTACGGTGTTTTTCAGGATAGTAAGAGCATGTTTGGTGCACATTAAAATGAGAGAATACATTTTTTTGAAGTGATGTGATGAGAAATATGTGGTTGAAAATGAAGGAAAAGATATTGATGTGATGGAAATATTATTTTATTGAAGAATGTGTGGTTGATAATGAGTAGAAGAATGAGAATGAAAAAAAGAATGTGGGTCAAATAGGGGCTAATAGTTGCATGTTAACAATCCCATGAAAATGGTGAAAAATATTTCATGTGACCAAAACAAAGAGGCTATTTACATAAAAAGGCTGATAATTTGGTAGACCAGTCTAAACCAACCGTGCCACAGCTCATTAACAGGGGCTTGATTCAGTTTCATCAGAACATTGAACTAATACTATAGCTACTCTAAAGGGGTAGACAACATTGTTGATGCTTGTTGAACATGCATTCTATGCATCTTGGCCGTCAATAATCATTGATAGTGGAATGGCACCATAGATGTTTGCACATGCATTCTTTGCATCTTGGCTATCGATAAATGCTTCTGCCTAAGGGCCGTGCATGCAGTCTTTACCTTCCTCAATCATCTTCTCTATTCTGTTCTCAAAAGTACTCCACCCAATACTGCTATTTTCTTGTAAAATAGCAGCGAGTCTTTTCTTTCTTGGACTCAAGATGGGAGCATTTCCACTGCCATAATATGTCCTGAAACCCGACACCAGGGACGGCAGCTGGCTCCCAGAGTCCGTCATGGCAAAAATATCAACAGCAGCACAAGCAATAAAGTCCAAAGCTGCTGCTAGCTGCATTCAAAGAGATTTTCCCGTTGTAAGCACGTACAAAGCAAGCATCTTGAAACAAAAACTGCTTAGAAGGCACTGAATGATGTTCTATATAGTGCCACTCATAGATAAATGTTATGTCATAAGATGGAAATCACCAACTAGAAGGCTCTTTATGTACCTAAGACGAAAAATTGCCAAAAGGTGCAAGTTCAACAAGCGAGAGACGATCCTCCTTTGTAACGAAAGTGGGATATAGGCTAGTTAGAGGATGCATTCTCTTTCCTCCTCCATAAATTTGGGACCCGGCAAGATAGATGTAAGTTCCGCGCTTGAAACCTAAACCGGCAAGAACTAGTGCTGCTTCTTCAGTTGTCAATGTACATCTCCCCATCTGTCTGAGTTACTGGGGAGAGAGATGTCTGCTTTCATTGAACAAGATCAAATAAAAAGAAAAATAATTTAACATGTCTGTTAATGCATGATTAATTTGTTGACTTATGATTGATTTCATCCTTAATGTTTTGATCATAACAAATAATATTAATATTGTTTCTAACAATCAATTTTGAGTGATAGTAGTTCAATGTTAAAATCAATCAAGCATTGCCAAAATCAACACATTATAAATCGGACTTGAAATAAAGATCAAAGTTGAAGTTAAGGACTGTTCTCTTCGTGTTTCAATTTTTAGTTTTGAGTTTTGAATTCATTTTGGATTTTGTGTTTTGAGTGTCTATTTTGAGATCCCTGAAAACGCGTTCTTTTTACCATTTTGAAAAATTATTTTCCAAAATAAAAAAATGAAGTTTTGACTTGATTTTAACTGAAAACAGCCAAAACGACATTTTTGACGTTTTCCGTTTTCTTTGTAAACTTTAAACTCGTTTTTGAAAATTCGTTTCAGAAAATAGGAAAGTAAACGCGTTTTTAGTGTTTTCGAAAATTGAAAACTGAAAATGACCTGAAAATAGCAAAAAGATCAAGCCCTAAGCATTCGAGTCAAATTATTCGAGATGAGAGTTTAAAGGACAAACGCCAAGAAAGAGTAAAATCGAGAGCATAAAAGACGACATCCAAGAAAGATCAAGACGAGAAATCTAAGAGATAAATTTCGAAACAAGTTCAAAGACTAGACTTCTTAGTTCAAATATAAAGGTACTAATATTTTGATATTTAGCAATGATTGATAAAAGCTAAAAAATCGTTTTATGCACGAAAAGATTATTTAATAAAAACGCTTGCATAAAATTTATTCTTCGAAAATGTAAGTATTTCAACTTGATATTCAAACTCACTACAAGATCACTTATCTTGAAAAATAAAGTGAAAAACGTCTTTCAAAAGCCTACATTTTTCAAAACAATCAAAAAAGAAAAATCTGAGAAAATTCTATACAAGTCCGGTTGAGCCATGTGGATGTCCGAAGCCAACAATCACTTTTTTAACAGTTCTGATGCGCAATGGTTAGTTTGATTGTCCAGTTTAGAGTGCGGACGTCCGGATTGGTCGTTCGGTTAGTCAGAATTTTTGACATTTTAACCGCTATAAATACCATTTCATTTTGCATTCATTACAACATGTAGAAGAGAGCTCTCTTGTGAAATATATTTGTGAAAATCTTCTTTGTGCTTACACTTTTACATTTATTTCTTCAATACAAAAATTTTGATTGTTATAATCAAATTTCTTAAATCATTTCTCTCATCTCTCTTTGTGTTTAACTTATTTATATCAATATTAAAAGAGAAATATATTTTTGAAAAAAATCTTTAAATTTACATTGAATAAACTTTTCTACTTTTTTATATTGAAAACTTTGATTGATTGAATTAAACTTGTAAAATCATTACATCCATCAAAGTTGCTCATTTCTCTCTTATTACTTAATTTATTACAATCATTCATTAAAAGAGAGAAATATTTTGAGAAGATTTTTGAACTTAAATTGCATTAGATTAATCTTCATCATCTTATTGAAAAATTTTGATTGGTTGAATCTAATTTTTAACTATCATATTTATCAAAGTTTTTCACCTCACACTTGAAATA